GGCCCGGAATGTGAACAGCACAAAGTGACCTCAGAACCTTCCGACTCCAAAGGAGGAGGTGGCGGGCAAGTTGCGACATGCAACGGGCGCGCAGACCACCTTGTCGGTTGATGCACGCAATGGTCGCTGTGTTGTCCTTTCGTAACAGTACGTGCTTGCCTCGTAAGCGCCCTTTGAGACGGTTCAAGGCAAGGTGCACTGCCAACAACTCTAGGCAATTGATGTGCCGCTGCAGCTGCGGGCCTGTCCAAACCCCTGAGACTGCATGCCCGTTGTACGTGGCACCCCACCCGGTGATGGAGGCATCCGTGTAGACCACAGCATGCCTGGATATCTGCTCTAGGGGCATCCCTGCCCGGAGGAATGCAAGATCTGACCACGGGGTGAAGGTTTGGCGACAGGCCAGTGTAACTTGGACCCGGTGAGTGCCGCGCTTCCACGCCCAGTAACAGGCCGAGTGGTGTAAGTGCCGCTGAAGGCCGTCATATGCCCCAGGAGCCTCTGAAAATGTATCAGTGGGACCGCTGTCCTGCCCTTGAACATATTCAAGCAGGCTAGCACCGACCGCGCACGTTCCTCTGTGAGGCGTACTGTCTGTTCGACCGAATCCAACTCCATACCGAGAAAAGAGATCCTCTGCGTCGGGGAGAGTTTGCTCTTTTCCCAGTTGACCCGAAGGCCCAACAGGCTGAGGTGCCGAAGTCCCAGGTCCCTGTGCTCGCACAACTGATCCTGAGACTGTGCTAGTATAAACCAATCGTCTAGTATAAACCCTGCTCTCTGAGGGGAACAAGAGCTGCCTCTGCGACTTTCGTAAAGACACGGGGAGACAGGGACAGCCCGAAGGGCAGGACCTTGTACTGATATGCCCGTCCTTCGAACGCAAACAGCAGAAAAGGTCTGTGGCATGGAAGGATCAACACATGAAAGTACGTGTCGTTCAGGTCGATTGCTGCAAACCAATCCCGGGGACGGACGCGCCCGAAGATGCGTTTCTGCGTCAACATCTTGAACGGTAGCCGATGAAGGGCCCGGTTCAAAACTCACAGATCCAAGATTGGCCGTAACCCACCGCCTTTCTTGGGTACAATGAAGTAAGGGCTGTAAAACCCCGACATCATGTCGGCCGGAGGGACCGGCTCTATCGCATCCTTCGCCAGTAGGACTGCGATCTCTGCCCGCAGAACATGGGCATCGGCCGCCCTCACTGTATTGAAGCAGATACCGCTGAACTTGGGTGGGCACCGGGCGAACTGAATCGCATAGCCGAGGCTGATGGTCCGCAGAAGCCAGCGAGATGGGCTGGGTAGCGCTGACCAAGCGCCCAGAAACCGTACAAACGGGACCAGCGGAACCACAGCCGTACCCGCAGTGGGGCAGCGAGGTGGAACACAGGGACCCAACTCGGGCGGCTTGTGAGTGGGCCGGAGAGGGGTGTGAGTGTGGGATGCAAGGCTCCACGGGTTGGCAGAGGGTGCATGAGTAGGGCCTTTGTTGACGCTCTCGAACCACTTGCTGCTGCCGGCTGGCGAAGGAGGAGGATGAGTGAGGTTCGACATTAGTCCGTCCACAACTCTCCGTGCCCTCCTGCTCTTTTGTTGAGAATTCGGGTACCGTCGGTCGTGAGGCCAACGGCGGGAAAAAATTAAACAAAAGATTCTCCACCCGGCCCTTCTCCGGGGGAGGGAGTGGTGCGTTCACCATCTCCCGAAGAGCAGATCCCTCCATCTCTGGGTCGCCTGTCTCAGGGCCGTTTGCGTCTCTGCTTGCCGCCAGGTTTGACAGGGGCCTGGACAACACAAGACAAACCACTCAACGCCACTTTGCTGAAGGCTGCTGCGGATGTGGCGCGGGAGTGGGGGTGGACGTAGGGGCCCGCCCTCGGCGACGAGCAGGCTGGGGCGCTGCAGCCGGCGGGTGGGGGGAGGCAGCAGCCGCCCCCCCGGGCAGGATGTGACTTTCGTCGCTCGGAGCGCGAGGTCAGTGGCGGTTCAGAGCTCTTTCAGAACTTCCGGATCGTGACCACCCTCGTGCAGGTCCTTCAGTGCCTTAGCCTGGTGCATCTTCAGTAACGCCATAGCATGTAAGGCGGAAGCAGCTTCCCCGCAAGCCATATAGGCACTGCCGGTTAGACCAGACGAATGCCTACAGGCCCGGGAAGGAAGTACCGGGTCTCCCCGCCAGGAGGAGGCGGACTTAGGACACAATTGCATCGCTACCGCCCGCTCCACCGGGGAGATCGCCGGATACCCCTTCGCAAAGCCCCACCCACAAACCCTGCCCCCTACTGTCCTCTTTTTGAAAAACTAAAATATGGTCACCCTAGGATAACCAGTCTCGCTAGTTTTGATGGATGAAGACTGCAATCAAGGTAAAGACGATTGCGGTGGCGTACAGGAGTCGTACAATACAGTAAGCACACGTGAGTCCATTATAATAATGCGTGTATGAGTGCTCTTGACGCACTGATCACACATTGTATTTATGCACAGGTACAGACATTTCCATACATTCACGTTGTTTCCACACACATTCACGATAATGTTTTGATTTCTCATGTTTATGTTGCTGTGTTTAGGTATACGGAATGGATCTGTGTACTGTAGATATATGCAGTCAGCAGGCGGTTGGTTTAGGTTTTTTTTGGCATCTCCATGTGGTCCTGTTCGATATCGCAACTTGGCTTTATCTTGAAGAAAGCTTGCAGAAAATATAGATTTTTGAGAATCACCCTTCAGTCTTTTGGTTTACTTTGCTGGATATAGCAAATCGTGACAAAATAAATATTTGAAACAAGATAAATGGTCTATGCTTAATTTCATGAAGTGTGCGATTAATTGCGATTAATCACAGAAATAGGATTAATCAGATTCAAATTTTTATCGATTGACAGCCGTACACTTTTCACAACCTTTGGCTGTATTGAATAAAAATTAATAAACATGAATTAAAAATGAATGCAAAGAGAATAAGATGTAAATGTAAAAACTGTAGCCTAAACAGTAGAGTATTCTAACAATGCAGGTATATGGATTCAATTCCCAGGGAATGAACATCATACAATTTAAACCTTAAATAAAATTTAAGGTGCTTTGGAAAAGTGTCTGCCAAATGCATTACTGAAATGTAAAAATAATGTTTTACTCTCTGTGGTCTTTTTTCTTTTGTACTGACTGTCATGACAACATAACAGTTTATGGAGGCTGCATTGAGAGCTCCAGGGCAGAACAAATCCGACGCTGCAAATGAGTACAACTGGATTCCATGGAAGCATTCTGCTTTATTTTCTTTACCCAGGATTTGCCCAGTGATTTTGTTCACTCTAGAACTATGACGGCCTCACATGCTCACTCTCTAGAATTACAATACCTATCATGCTCAAACAACTCCAACGCCCGAATACTCCAATCTCAATTTCTGTCATCATGGGTACTGGCCCTGTCAATAAACGCAAAATAAGAGTCATTTCATTTACTTATTTGGAAATGTAACTCAGATAGTTTGTTGTTAAATTTAAAAGTTATTTATTTCTTGTTAGTTGAAAATAATCTGATAGCATAATAAACATTACATGTAACATGCTACCGCCAACACTGGTTGCTACCTTTTTTGACTCTTGGAATTTCAAGACCCAGGAACCTGAAATCCTCCTGCAATTTGTCAGCAGGAAAGGCTAAATGTCAGCTAGCGATGGATTTCTCTGTTTTGCATGAAGACTCTAGTGATTGTAATGGTTAGTGTTCAACAGAGTGTGAGATGAACATTCACTAGGAACAGGAAAAACTGTTTCATGTCAGGTTACAGTACATTTCTCTAGGACACACATTCAACAGACTCATGCACAAACCCACTGAAAAGAAAATAAGTCTTTAATATCTCAGTTGAAGATAACAGTTATATTAAATTGAGAGCTTATTGGTACAATGCTTAGGTCTCTTGTTTTTCTCTCTATTAAGGTCACAGTAATCTTAAATTCGATATGAATTCAAACATCTCTCATCAGTTGCTTCCTAAACCAAATTAAATGTGCTATGCACATACATTTAATAGGATTAAACTCTAAAACATATTTTGTTCGTCAACAATCACCTTTTTTTCCCCTATTGTACTTTTAGAAGAAACACCTCAGACAAAGTTCATTCTTAAAAAGATAACAGACTCTATTAAGTCTCCTGAGCTATGAAATAGCAATTTCTCAGCTATAAAATTTAACTCTCAGGCTCGGCAGCTACTGGCTATATTCCCTTGAGTGTGTCTCTAACACTTTTACCCAAAGGAACTAAGCAATGTATCCACTGTTTAGTTCCCATGGAATGCAAATACACTTCGCTGAAGCAATTTAAGGTCCACCGAGGAAATATTCAAGGTTAGAGAACCTCTACGTTCACATTCTGCATTCATTTGATTGTTGCATTGTGCTCCCTTGTGATAAGCACCCAAGTGGTCAAGATGCTAATGCTTAAAGTATGGATCTCCCATAGTAATACACCTCCCACTGATCGCATCCAGACAGCCATTAGCAGGTCATTCACTCACAGACAATGTCCCACAGTTTATGAAGCACAGGGAATTGTGTGTGGTGTGATTGCACCTGAATGTACTGGAGTTAAAGTGTCTGGCAGCACATTTACATGCAGTGTTCAGTTTTTTTCAGCTCATTCTTCCTGTTCAAACACATTTACTCTTAAATAATTCAGCTACATTTTCACATTTTAAAAGATGACCAGTCATATAGAAATGAGGCAGCAATAGGTTAGAATAGATTAGCCAGAGAAAGATTACTTAAATCGTCCATCCATCTACATTCTGGTTTGGCATGAAACAATGTTTTGCTATATTAAAAGATCTGCTCAGTATTTATGATGCGGGATTTTGTTGAACAGGGATAAATGATCTGCTGTCAAACAGAGAACTGCACTGCTTTGTGGGTGTAATTAAGAGAAGCCCATCTCTCATCCTGCTCTAAAAAAACACAGCTCAGTTTGAAATGAAAGATTATAAGTACCAACTGAGTGTAGTCATCATAATCCTCAATTATATGCAA